TATATTTGACTTGTGATGGTTTCAGTTTGCATGAGAAGTATGCTATCGGGAGCCATGTCTCGCCGTTCAGTTGTTGTAGGTGAGCGCCCACTGCTACGTCTGATGCATCTGTGGTTACACACATGGGTGCGTCAGGTGCTAAAAATGTGAGCTTAGTCGCGTTGATTATACCATCTTTGCATTGTTGGAAAGCTTGTTTAAGTTGATCGGTCCAAACAATTTTTCGTTTATCATTCTTTATTGAATTTTTGAAGAGCCTATTTAGTGGCGCTTGCATTTGTGCTGCCTTAGGAATACACTTTCTGTAGAAATTGATAATGCCCAGGAAACGTCGAAGTTCCATTATGTTACTTGGCATTGTAAAATTTTTAATCACTTCAACTCGTTCTTGTGGGGGATTTAATCCTGTCGCTGATATTTCGTATCCAAGAAATGTGAGTTTTTCTACACCAAATTCGCATTTCGAACTATTGATTACCAATCGAGCAGCTTTTAGTTTTTGTAGGACACATTCAATATGTTCTCTATGTTTAGTGTCATTTTCCGAAAATATTAGAATGTCATCTAAGTAACAGAACACGAAATCTAATTCACGAAATATTGAATCCATGTATCGCTGAAAAGTCTGTGTGGCATTTTTTAGACCAAATGGCATCACGACAAATTCAAACAGACCTATTGGTGTGCTTACCGCTGTTTTCACAATATCATCTGGATTCATTGGTATGTTATAATATGCTTTCGTGATATCGATCTTAGAGAAAATATTACTGCTGTGTAGTCTTTCGGCTATGTCGCATTTTCTTTACTAAATGTATGGGACTTGCCCAGGGGCTGCTGGATGGCCTCACTATGCCATGATGTAGTAATACACGAAACTCATCTTTGATTGCTTTTAATTTTTCACCTGAAAAACAACGTGGGCGTTCTGATATTGGCTGGCAATTTGTTATGATTCTGTGTTGAACGTTGTCTGTTGTCTGTAGTTGGTACCTGTTTAAATTTGTTATGTCAACATATTTTGCGATGACATCATGGAACTTGATGGATGAATTGATTGTCGAAACATTTTCGTGGGCTACTTCTTTCAGTAGACCTTTTGACTGTAACGTGGTTTGCGTATCAATGAGCGATTTTACCCTCAGATCGATTTGTAAGCCGTAGTGCGTGAGAAAGTCTGCCCCAATTATGGCTGTTTTAACAACAGCGATGATGAAGTACCAGTTGAAGTCTTTTCTAAGGCTTAAATCTATTGCTAGTTGCTTGTTGCCAAATGTTTTAATTGCAGTGTTGTTCGCTACATATAGAACTAGATCGTCTGGTTGCATTTTATTTTTTGGATTGATTCCTGGTAGTGGAAGTAGTGAAATAGCTGACCCAGAATCAATTAAAAAGTTAATGTTGTTTTTTCGGTCATAAATATGTAATCGTAGCTCTTGATTTTTTATGCTGTCGCCAACCGTGTTTGATGACGACAGCCTCGTTAGTTTTCCTGTTGATTATTGCTCTTAAATTTGCCAAATTCGCACGGTTGGCTACATTTGGTCGCTGCTGCCCCAAATTTTATGTGATAGTAACAGGCCTTCTCACGTTTGCACGAACTGCTGCGGCTGCGGCTGTTATTTCTACCACGACTGTCGTTTTTCCAATCTGTCTAAAGTTGCTGATATCTTGACTAGCTGCTGTCTTAGTTGTTGAATCGACCTTTCCAAGGTTGTTACGCGGGATTCCAATGCGTCATTCAATTTGTTGGCGTTTGCAGTCATTACGTAAGACGGTACTGGACTGTTGTCTAATATTCTATCAGCTATTTCTGCTAACTCATCTATACTTGTGGTTTTGCATGCTGATAGAATGCATCTTATATTGTTTGGCATCCGTTGCAGCCACAGTGTTGTTAGTGCCTCCTCTGAGGCATTTGCGCCTGCTAACGTGCGCATTTCACGTACCAGTTGGCTTGGTTTTTTGTTCGAAAGTTCCAGACCAGTGAGCAGCTTTATGAGCTGCATTTCTGACGACTCGGAAAAACGAGAATTTAGTTCTTTTTTTAATTTGTCGTATTTGCCTGTTTCAGGAGGATTTTTTGAAATATCTGCAACTTGTTGCAGCGTTTCTGCATCCAGCGCAGTAATTACTGTGTAAAACTTTGATAAATCTACCGTGGCTCGGCTCATATGAAGTAGACTTTCAATTTGTGCAAACCATAAAGTTGGATCCTTGGTTAAAAAGTTTGGCAACTTCATTTGCCCAATCGCTTGCACTGCCGATGCTTCCGCTTCCATAGGCTGGAATTTATTTGTTTCTGCGGGAGTCTCTGCACTGTCAATTTCGCCTGTTTTCTGTATTTTTTTTTTTTTTTTTTTTTTTTTTTGAAGTTTTTGTAGGGGTAACCAATTTATGGCTATTTACCATAAGTTTATACAAATTAAAAAACACACTTTTTTATTGCTGATTAACTATTTTATTTCTTACTTAGCGTCTACTTGAAGTTGGTTGTTTATTTATACAAAAAAAGGATCATTTTTGGTTTTACTTTGCCGGTAGAAGGCAAAGTGAACGCCACACCCTCATTAGTTGCTGTACTCCGCATTTAGCGCTATGACTCAATTTATTTATTGATCAAATGTAAATTTTTAAAAAAACATTATAAAAAAAACTGTGCATACGATTATTATGAATTTTGAGATATTGAAAGAAAACTCCTTCATCTTTATATAGACATATAGATTATCCCGATCGGAGTTTTGCACGGTAAGATATTTGATTGTAAAAATATGTAACTTCAAAAAAAAATTTCAATATTTTTTGATGAAATTTGTATGATATGAATTAAATATTAAGTTGATATAAATTAAATAATTGCTTAGTAATATATTTTTTAACATTTGTCATCTTTCTTTTTTTCTCAAATGATTGTTTTAAGAGAAATAATAATTTTCATATTTGATTGAATTGCCTTGTTCGAAGAATAATGCATTTTATTATCTTTAAAGGCTGTGCATTGTGATTCTTGTAATAATATTTTTTTTTGATTAATGTTTTTTAAAAGGATAGATATGTGGTTCTTTGCCACACACTTTATTTTAAATACAAATAAATATTTATAAGACGATCAAAACGTTGTGTTATCAACACGTGCAAAAAAAGGAAGAAAACGAAGAAGGAAGCCAGTCGCCAGCCACTGAAGATAGCTGCTGCTTAGAAATGGTCCTTTTGCCCACAGATTGCGCGAGTGCGTGTGCATTCACACACAGAGGGCGCTACAGTATGTGTGGCGAGTTCGCCACAGTAGTCCCCCCTTAATAGCTGGACCGGTGGTCTGGTTTGTTAACTGTTGATTGTAACCTGCTAAGGATCTTTCACATCAAAGGTTACTTGCTTCTTCGTTTGCGTGAGTTTTCCTTTGTTTTTAGGTCTGCAATCTACGTCGACTTCTGCAAATTTTAGTTCGATTACTGCTGGCTCGAAAAAGGCCGGTTTCAATCTGTTTATTGATACGTTAACCTGCTTACCGCGTACGTCAACCGTAAAAAGTCTGTCGTTGATTTTCTTAATTACCTTATGTGGTCCTGTGTATGGGAGCTCTAAAGGTTTCCTTACATGATCTGCCCTTACGAATACATGCGGCGCATTGCCCAATGCTTTGTGAACGAATATAGCTTTGCTAGAATGATTGGACGTCGGAATTGGTCGTACTTGCTGGATGTGCTCGTGTAATGTTGCTAGAAATTTTTGTTCGTCCGGAAGCGTGTTACTTTCCACGAAAAATTCTCCCGGTAGACGTAATGTCGTTCCATACAGCATTTCAGCTGCTGAAGTGTTGATATCTTCTTTATAAGAGGATTGAAGTCCGAGTAAAACTGATGGTAACAATTGTATCCAAGCGTGTTTAGGTCGCGACATAAGTGCTGTTTTTAAAGTGCGATGAAATCGCGCAATTAACCCGTTAGATTCTAGGTCAAACGGAGATGTACGTATTCTTTGCGTGCCTAAACGATTTGCTAGCGCCTTGAATAAAGCTTATTCGAACTGGGTTCCTTGATCAGTTGTTATGATCTTCGGGGACCCAAATCGCGATATCCAGTGTGCGTAAAAATTTTCTGCGACTGTATCGGCGGTGATATTTTTCAACGGAACGGCTTCTGGCCAACGTGTAAATCTGTCCATCATGGTTAGCGCATATCTGTAACCGTCACATTCGGGAAGTATTATTAAGTCCAAATGTACATGATCGAATCGCTGATCCAATGAATTGAAAGCTTGTGGCGTGAGTTTATTATGCCTGTTTATTTTTGCTTGTTGACAACTTTGGCAAGATCGTACCCAATTCGCTACATCTTTTCGGATTGACGGCCACACGTACTTGCTGCATAGTTGTTTTGTCGTTGACTTAGTACCAGCATGTGCTAAGGAGTGCACTGTGTCAAATGTTTTCTTCCGAAGTGATGATGGAATATATGGTCTGATGATTCCTGTTGACACATCACAAAAGGTTGACATATCGGGTTGTAAAAAAAGTTTTTGTAATTGAAGTGCTGAATCTGCATTTAATAGTTGCTTAAGCTCTTCATCTATTTTCTGATGGTTGCTAATCATCTCGAGATCTATAACCGTAGGCATATTAATAGCATCAATTCTGGATAAACTATCAGCCACTATGTTGTCATTACCATCTATGTATGATATGATTGTTGTAAACTCTGCAATAAAACTCAGTTGTCGTAGTTGACGTGGCGAAACTTTATCTGACTTTTGTTGGAATGCATAAATGAGCGGTTTGTGATCTCTTTGAATTGTAAAATTTCTACCTTCCAGTAAATGTCTAAAATTTTTGATGGCTAAATATATAGCTAGCAACTCTCTGTCGTACGTGCTGTAATTCTTCTGCGCTGCCTTGAGCTTCGATGAGAAGAACGCAACCGGTCGCCAAACATCACCTTGCTGTTCCAGTACTGCACCAACTGCGTTGCTTGATACATCCGATGTCAATCGAATTGCACTTAATGGAGACAAAAATGTTAATTTAGGTAACGCGGTTACGCTTGTTTTACAGTTTTCAAATGCTGTATCTAACGTGACAGTCCATGGTATATGCGTGTTGTCGTTCTTTTTTGAATTTTTTAATAGCTCATTTAAGGATGCTTGCAATTTTCCTGAACAATGAATCCATATACCTTTGAAAGGTTTGCGTAGCGTTTTTAAGACCAAACGGCATGACTGCAACTTCAAATAACCCAATGGGTGTACTTACTGCGGTTTTGCATATGTCATCAGCTTGCATCGGTATGTTATAGAACGCTCTGTGTATATCAATCTTTGAAAATAATTTGCTAGCATGTAGTTTTTCCGTCACTTGATCTAGGTATGGTATTGGGTACCTATCTGGTTTGGTTTGCGCATTTAGCTTTCTGAAGTCACCGCAGGCTTTCCAGGCACCTGTTTTCTTTTTGACCAGGTGAATTGGACTCGACCACGGACTGTTTGACGGACGAATAGTTCCTTGCTCCAACAGCGTTGAAAATTCTACGCGAATTGCTTTTAATTTTTCCGTTGAATAACGGCGTGACCTTTCATGCACTGGCTGACCATCAGTGACTATTTGATGACAGACTACAGATGCGTCAGGGAGGCTATAGTTATTTGCACTGCACAAATCAATGTATTTGTTGATGATTGTAAAGAATTTTGAGTTTGGATCCAATGTGTATACCGAATGTATCGATGTGGTTTCAACTGCACCAGATGACGACAATGTAGTAAGCGGGTCTAATAAACGTCTTGATTTTATGTCTGGAATTAGACCATATTTCGCCAGAAAATCTGCGCCCAAGATTGGACATTTGACGTCTGCTATAATGAAGTTCCAATTGAAATTGCGTCGCAACCCAAGATTGATGCTAAGTCTCTTAGTACCGTACGTCTTAATAAATGAATTATTTGCTGTGAATAATTTTATATCATCTGGCACTAGGCTGCGTTTTACTGTGATTGCTGTTAAAGGAATAATGGATACATCCGATCCGGTGTCAATCAGAAACTTCATATTTGAGATACGATCAATCACATGCAAACGAGCTTCTTCAGTGCAGTGTTCCCGGACGTTGTTGTTTACTGCACTTGTGGACGACAACGATTTTAGTTTTCCTTTTGTTTGATATTAGTTGTTTGGCCGCCGAACTCGCATGGCTTTAAGCATTTAGTTGCAGCTTTTCCAAATTTTATGTGATAATAACAGACTTTTCGATCGTCGCGCTGACTTTTAAACTGAGTTCTGCTAGAACTGCGAGCCCTGCTTCGCCTCTGTGAGTTTCCTGGTCGACTGAGCTCT